ATCGTAGATCTAAGTATTTTCAATATTTTAACCTCAGTTTGCTCAATTATCACAGGTGACAGGCAAAGTTAAATTTCTGTTATATAGTTCTTGTACAGTGTTATACTTTATTTACCCAAAATCGCATTGTAATTTTAAGAATACTGAATGAGACGATTAGGTTTCTAATATCCGCTTTATATGCGCTGGTAGGCAGTGGTCAAATATACCAAGTAACCAACTAACTAACTTGAAACAGAGTTATTCTTAATAAGGTAATAGTACGCTCGGCTAGTAAAGAAATTCCCCGGATTTTATGAAAGAACAAGGTTTAATGTCGTTTTAGAAGCGGCCAACACAAGTTTTTGTCTTGAGGCAGACGAATCCAGTCCTCACTTATTTATCTATTTTCGTAATACCCCTTTTAATACAAATCTTTATTGTCTCATCTATGCCTAGATCTTCCAGTTGTCTGTTACCCTCAGACTTTCCAACCACAATTTAAAACATATTTCTTATTTTTCCCACACGCGCTTTATGATTTTATTAGCCTAGTATTATTTATTAAAGAGTAAAAATTATGTAGCCCTGCGTTATGCAGTTTTCTCATGTCCAGTAGCATTCAGCTTTCTCTTGTATGACGAGTCTGACGCCGTGATTGAGCGGCAACTTCTCCGACAACTCCGTACTGCGTGTAGGCTAGTGGATGTCTTGCAGGGGCACCCAGTCTCTGAAGACGTAAGAGAAGTAGGATTTGAGGTTCTCACCGCGGCGAGAATGAAGATGGCTGTGTTCTGGGTTGTAACTAGGTGTAGTATGGTAAAATGTTACCAACATTTCAGAGGTACTTACTGCTTCCACTATCTTCCAGCTTCACAAGCTACTCATTGCCTTTACTATAAAGACAAGTACTCCTGTAACGTCGGTAAGCTTTTGCCAAAACACACGGCGTTAGAACCCAAAAGTCAGCCATTTTCACACAAGAGAAGACTTGTGAAGTATGCCAAAGTTTTAACTTTTCTTCTTTAAGGGTAAAAATATCGCTGGCCCAGTGTATGTTGTGCATCAACAGACTAAGAGCCAGTTACTGGTTTGTAAGTCATTGAAGTGGAGTACAGTCATGTTCAGAACTGGAGGCACAGATTTAGGCATCGGGTTAAGGGAAAGAAGGTACGCTGGAACGCAGAAGGTCACCTATTCGAACACTTGCTGTAGTGTGAATTAAAGACTGACGTTTTAGACTAAGAGTGTATAATGTCTGTTATGCGGGACTGCGTCTGACAGTAAGTACCATACTGCGAAGACTAGTTTAAGGGGCCGTGTTGAACCCAAGGGCTCAACTCATGGAACTATTTTTGGGAACTAATACCAAGTTTTCGTTATTATTAAAGCGTTAATTTATGGAGCATCTTGTATTTGACACAACGTCTACCTGGAAAAACTTAAATTTTACATTAGGGCTTTTAAAAGCCAATAGCATTTGTGCCAATTGTACGTAAAACAACAAACGAGACATGAATCGAATTTTCATTTCAGACCCTTCGTAGTAAAGAAAATAAATGAACGTAGTAAATAGTAACGAATTAACAATTAATTTCACGGTTCTATTTACAAGTCGTATTGGGCCTGATGCGTCCCACGGACCGATATTTGGACAACACTGATCTCTACCTATTGTTGATGTCAGCGTTCGTAGTTTTTTAAATTCTGTTTCTGAATTAAAAATTAATATGTCAGCGAAAGACGTTCTTAGACCTCATATGACCTTACCCGGTCCGTCATTTCAGTACTCGTATTTATTTGGCAGAATAAAACAGAATGGTGGAAGATGTTTTAAGGTAGCCTGTTCCCGACGACAGGCACATACTACGGAACTACGGATCGTATTACCCGTGGTGTGCAGGATGTGTTGGAAGCCAGGGGATCTGAAGGGAGAAATGTAGTGGGGTGTGGTCAGAATTCCGTCTGCATGAAACTGTCTGCAATGTTTATAATTTCACTAAATGTGTTCGTGAAAGGGCGAAACCTTCTGTCAATGCATAGTAGTGTTTCCATGGAGTACACCATACTTGTCAGGATATTATAAAATTTCGGATCATGCATTCCCGCAATATTTTTGCTTCTGAACGATCTCCTTATTCGTTTCGTTACAGACGGGAATTTGAGACAAAAGTTCTTGGTTTAGTCTTCCGGTGTCATGAATTTCTTACGGAGTTTTACGCTGATCCGTTACTGAGAGAAACTGATAAAGTTGAATGCTGCCCGGCTCCCGGAAATGATAAAATATTGTTATATTATTGGTGGTGAGTCATGCAGTTCTAGCTGGAGGCCGGCAAGTGACAGTCATTGAACGCACTGTATAAGAACACAAACGGACACAGTCACGGAAGGCGAGCCAGTTGTTTGTTAGCTATTCGTCGTTTTTCATCACCAGTAACTATACCGTCATTGAAGGACCTTTTGCCGCCTCATACACGGGAGATTTCTTAATCTTTTTAAACATTGCTAGGACCCCTTGGATGAATGATCAGCCCATCGCAAGGCCAGGTCAGGACAGCACAACAGAGAAAGACGCAGACTAGCAACCATCCATACCTTGAGCGGGATTCGAACCCACGATCCCAGTATCCGAGCGATCACGACCCATGCCTCCAGAACACTGGCATTTTTTCTTGTTTTAATATTTTAAAAAGGTTACCTTTCGCGTAAGTTCTTAAACTGTTATCGTAGGCTGCGCGGTGTCGCCGTCACCCGTGGCCTGGGACTGAGGTCAATCTCCCATACGTCACAAGAAGCAGGTTTGCTTCAGGCGGGCCTTAATGAACCTCCCTTACTCGGTACGGAGAAAGTAGTATTAATTTACTTGTAGAAGCTTTCAACGTCAAACAATTTCATTTGTGAAGATGAATTTAACTTTGTCTTTAAAAGCCTTTTTACCCTTCCTCCAGTCACGAGTGGGTGCGTTTTAAACTCCGTTGTTCCAATTACCGGGAACTGCGAGTAGAATAGACCGACTCCCTTTGCCCGTGAAGGAATTGGCAGTCGACAAGAGATACTACGTGTTCTGGTGGGTTATATAAAGAGTGGCCATGAAAATTGCGCTGTTTCTACCCTCACTGAAGTTTCCATGCTTTTCCTCAGTTGTAATACAAATGTCAGTGTATAATTCGAAAGAAGCAGGTCCCACCTGTCCCAGTGGTTGAGGCGAATTCATCCTGAAGCCGTAGGGGTTTTCAGTCAACCTTTCTGGGTTTAACTCATAGACACCCATCGAACTAAAGTTCTTTTAGTAGGAAGAACTCCGTTGTTCCAGTTATCGGGAACTGCCCGTGAAGGAGTTGGCAGTCGACAAGTTTCAGCCAAGACAAAACTACCCAGTTATAATTTACAAGGCACTGTTTACCAATTCCACCTATGCGAATGGTCTAAGCTAGGGAATGTTAGCTTCTTGGCTGGCTGATTCGTGGCACTTGTAGAATAATACTGGATTTCTATAACAATCCAAATTAGCTCAAATCAGTATTTAGTTTTTACTCTGCAATGTATGTGTTTTGTTTTCAAAGTAATCGGAACGTTATTTAAAAATTCCACAGATCTATATTACATTTAATCAAATATCCATATGCAATTTTAGCAGCACTCGGACGTCATTATAGCCGCTCATTGACGTATTTTCATAAAATTTCATATGGGCAGCATGCAACGGGAGAGATGAATTTAAAACCCCTTTTATGAATATATTTTAACTTGCATTGTGGGGACTAAACTTGCGTTGTTCAGCGCAGGGATAGGTTTTAAAAGTATATTAAGCTTATATAGAGTGAACGGATCACGTTGTGAGCTGACGGTAAAATTTATTCCTGGCAGGCAAAAATAATATGAGTTAATTTCCAACCCTTAAATCGTGGGAACTATAAAATGCATCAGATTAGTTGCAAGTACTTCTAGTAATTATTTCGTGATTAGTTCATGAACCTATATCAACTGAAATAGTGCTGAAACAGCGCCGATTTGGAAATTAGGTTGATTTTGGAGTTTCTATGAAAAACGACTTTATTCCAAAATGTTTTTGGTAGTTAGTATTGCCATCTTTTACGTTAAACCTGCACGCATATGTAGATAATACCATCGCGGCAAAAAACGCATTAGTGAAGGGCAGGGGTTCCTAAATGTTGGGTCGCGAGAACGTTTTGATGGTTCGCGTTGCGAAAGTCAAAGCATAATTTTTTTATATTATTAATAATTTAGTCAAGTAAATGTTACCGACGAATTTTTAAGTTTATTTTTGTATTTGTAAATTCACTTTTATTCACACAACAATAAATAAAATATAACACTG